ATGCATCGGCGATGCATCTGCGACGTCGGCGATGCATCCGAGACGTCGGCGAGGGGAACAGCGGGCTCCACATCGAGCTGCACCGCCGACGCATCGGCGATGCAGCGCGATCCTTCGGCCCCATCTGAGCAACGATCAAAAACGGGTCTCACGCGAGATGACGTAGCGCTACTACGCGGTGGCTTAACCAAGCGGGCCGCCAGCGCGGTACACCGAGCTGGAGACGAGGGCGCTCACGCGCGGCCCTACGCGGGCAGCTTACGCGCCAGTGTCGGCGCAGAGGACCCCGTTGTTTGCAGGCGCGCGCCATCAGAAGCGGGCTGCTTCTTAGAAGGTGCTGGCCCTGATGGGTCTGTTTTCCACCACCACCACCATAAGTTGGAGGGGGGAAGGAGGTGGAGGATGAGGAGGAGGAAGAAGAAGAAGAGGAGGAGGACCCCCTCCCCCTCCTACTTATGGTGGTGGTGGTGGAAAACAAGCCCACCAGGCCCTACACCTACATTCAATGTCCTTAAGAGGCCTTCGCCCTTCTCCCCACCACTCTGTGCGCGTGGCCGACCGATGTCCCGCGCAAGCGACCCTGTTTTTGTTGCGTCGCCCGTGTGCTTGCAAATCTCGCGAGGGCTCCGGGAGACTGGACTGAAAACGACGAGAAACCTCCTGTCCTGATTTGGTCCCAACCATCCTGTGGTGTTGAGACTTCGTTTTGAAGAGACGGTCCCCGCGTTCTCCTCCTTCCTCCCCCCTCCCTCCCCCTCCTGCCCCTCCTCCCTCCTCCCTGCGATTCACCCACCCAGTACGACGTTTCGTGGCCCCATGGGGAGCTCCACCGAAGCCCCCAGGGCTACCGTCCACATGCGCCCCGGAAACACAATTTTGCATTAGCACACACGCAGTACACCGCTTCGTGCCCCCATAGGGAGCTCCAAGGAAGGCCCCAGTGCCACCGTCCACATGCGTCCCGAAAACCCAATTGGGTTTTTCACCCACCCAGTGTAGCGTTTCGTGGCCCCATAGGGAGCTCCACCGAAGCTCCCAGTGGGACCGCCCGCTCACCCAATGTGGCATTTTCACCCAACCATTACAACGTTTCGTGGCCCCAACGAAACTCCACCGACAGCCCCAGTGCCACCGTCCGCATGCGCCCCGAAAGCCCAATTTGACATTTTCACCCACCCAGTACAGCGCTTCGTGGCCTTATAGGGAGCTCCACCGAAGCCCCCAGTGGGACCGTCCGCATGCGTCCCGAAAATCATTTTTTCATTTTCGTCCACCGAGTACAACGCTTCGTGGCCCCATAAGGAGCTCAACCGAAGGCCACAGTGCCACCGTCGACATGCGTCCCGAAAGTCCCCCAAGTTGGCATTTCCACCCAGCCAGGCCCCATAGGGAGCTCCACCGAAGCCCCCAGTGGGACCGCCCGGATGCGTCCCACATAGCCAATGTGGCATTTCCACCCACCCAGTAAACGTTTCGTGTCCCGATAGGGAGCTCCATCGAAGCCCCCAGTGGGACCGCCCGCATGCGTCCCACACAGCAAATTTGGCATTTACACCCACCCAGTAAACGTTTCGTGTCCCGATAGGGAGCTCCACCGAAGCCCCCAGTGGGACCGCCCGCATGCGTCCCACACACCAAATTTGGCATTTACACCCCCCCAGTACACTGCTTCGTGGCCCCATAGGGAGGTCCACCGAAGCCCCCAGTGGGACCGCCCGCATGCGTCCCACACACCCTCTTTGGAATTTTCACCCACCCAGCACAACGCTTCGTGGCCGCAGCGTTCCCCCACCCCACCCAGGGCAGCGCTCCGTGGCCCCATGGAGAGATTCACCGAAGAAGATATCGACCATTGCGGCACACACACGAATGCATATGGTTGGGTCCTTCGCCAGGACAATTTTACGTCGCGAGACTGTCTGGGGTCGAACCCGTTGTTCCCTGTCACTCGTCTTTGAGCAGGGGCCAACCGTCCCGGTGCTCCTATAGGCCTACCACGTCATCTTGTTAGAATTACCCACACACACGTCCTAACAACGACACGATGTTCTTGACACACAAAGCCGATGCAGTAAAGGAAGCCAGTCTCAGCCAGAAATGCTCTAAGAACAGGTCGTGCAGGCCACAAGAGGTTCTCAAGACAGTCTGCGGTGGGCCTATAGGCAAGCCAGGACGCTTCGCCACTGCTCGACACCTGCTCGGGCCCCATCTGGGAGGCCCGGCGACGGCCCCAGCGCCCAGCGAGGGCCCCCCGGGGCCGAAAACGGCGAAAAACCTCCCGTCCTGATCCTTGCAAGGAGGAGGACGACGAGGAGGAAGACGAGGACGAGGAGGAGGAGGAGGAGGACGAGGACGAGGACGAGGAGGAGGAGGAGAAGGAAGAAGAGGAGGAGGAGGAGGAGGAGGAGGAGGAGCAGGAGGGGGAGGAGGGGGAAGGGGAAAGAGAAGGAGGAGCATGTTCTCTTTCCCGCGCAGCTGCTCGGGCCCGCCGAACGGCCGCCGGGTGCGGCCGCCGCCCGCGGCCGCCCGCGGCCGCCCGCGAGGGGCGCTGGCGGCCGTCCTCGGCCCGCCGCCGCTGCCGCTGCGGACGGTGGCGGTGACGGGGGCGGCGGTGGCGGCGGTGCGGGTCGTTCCAGTGCTGCCGGCGGGGGTGGTGCTGATGGGGGGAGGAGGAGGAGAGGAGGAGGAGGAGGGAGGAGGAGGAGGAGAGGAGGAGGAGGAGGAGGAGGAGGAGGAGGAGGAGGAGGAGGAGGGAGGAGGAGGAGGAGGAGGAGGAGAGGAGGAGGAGGAGAGGAGGAGAGGAGGAGGAGGAGGAGGAGGAGGAGGAGGTGGCGGTGGCGGCGACGATGGTTTGAGATGGGGGCGGTGCTGATGGGGTGGTGGTGCTGATGGGGGGTGGTCTGATGCTGCCGACGGGGGTGGTGGCGGTGGCGGCGACGATGGTTTGAGATGGGGATGCAGACGAAGGCGATGGCGACGGCGATTCGGGTGATGACGATGCTGATGATGCTGAGGATGATGCTGCTGCTGATGATGCTGATGATGATGGTGATTTGAGGGAGTGTCTGTCGAACTCACGTCGTCCTCACCCCCAGCGCGCGAACAATCGGGAGCGGCCAAGAGGGGGGTGTCCAAGAGGGCGGGGGTGCAAATCATGACCGGCGGCATGTGCGCGACCAAGCGGGGGGGCCAGGGACGTAATGAAATAAGAAGAGGCGCCATGAAATCTGGGCAAATATCATGGCCCCCGCCATGATATCCACCCCCCCCCTAGTCATCACCCCCCTCTTTGCCGCCCCCGAAAAAAGTCAGGCCCCCGCGCCCCCGGGGACCATGCCCGGGGCGTACACCGGGCGTGTCCCAGCAGCGCTCTCGCTCGAGACAGCCTCGCGAAGTCGCCTCCCCGGTGCGCGAGGCGGTCAGGCCCCATCGCGCCCCCCATGCAGGGTCCGTTCCCGGGGCGAGCACCGATCGCGTCCCAGCAGGGCTCTCGCTCGACACATCCTCGCGACGTCGCCCGTGGGCGAACTGAGTCGCCCCGGGCCCGACTCCAGGATAGATTAAGTCCTTCGGATTCACACATTACTAACCCCCCCCCTTAAATTCTCGGGCGGAATCAAAATAATTCCAAAATAATTAAAATAATTCAATGTTGAAATAGCTAAGGGTTGGAGGGGGGAGGAGAGGCTGAGGAGTGAGAACCACTTCTCGGGCGGAATCAAAGTAACTCAACATAAAAACAGCCCGGGGTTCGAGGGGGGGGGAGAGGCTGAGCAGTGAGAACCACCCCTACTCAAATTCTGAGAGAATCCTTAACTATTGTGTATATATATAGATCAATACACACAAGTCAAGCATGAGCAGGGAAAGGCAGAGAGGGGAGCATGAGGCTGACCAGAAAGCGCAGCAGCAGCAGCATCAGGGAAACAATGAGACGATCGTGGCAGTGATGGCTCCACGTTTCACGGAAAACCGCAGGCAGCGGCGCCAGGTCGGTCGCCTTTCCTTCTCCTTCTCGAGGGGGCTCGCGCAGGCCTGGGGCCCCCCTAAAACTGAAAGCTTGGCGTCCGCGGCCGTCGTCGACGACGGCCTGAACTAACTACAACGGGCACGGCGGCGAGTGCGACGGGCACGGCGGCGAGAGGATGGGTACGACAGTACTCTGGTTACGACGACGGCCACCACGATGGCGGCGGCCACGACGATGGATGAGGAGGAGGAGGAGGGGGAGGAGGAGGAGGAGGAGGAGGGGAGGAGGAGGAGGAGGAGGAGGACTAGCCTCTACGACGGCTAGTCCCCCCCTCCTCCTTCCTCCTCCTTCCTCCTCCTCCTCCTCCTCCTCCTCCTCCTCCTCCTTCTTCCCCTCATCATCATCATCGCTCCTCCTCCTCCCGCTCCTCCGCGTCCTTCTCTTCCTCCTTCCTCCTCCTCCTCCTCCTCCTCACCCCTCCTCCTCCTTCCCCTCACTCCTCCCTCCCCCTCACTCCTCTCTTCTCCTCCTCTCCTCTTCCCTCCTTCGCCGGGCGGGGGCTCAGAGCCGTCCGCGACTACTCCGCGGTGACCTCGTAGGTGTCCTGGCTCATCTCCTCCAGCGTGGCGAGGATGCTGGAGCAGATAACCTTGTTCACGTTGCCCTTGCCAACTTTGGCCTCCATGCGATCGCGAAGGAGCTTGATCTCCGTTCTCCTCTTGACGGCGTTCGCCATCTTTGCAAGCGTGCACTTAATGTAGTGGGAAGCGTACGTGGTGGTGACCGTCAGGATGCCGTGGTCGTAGGCCTTCTTGGTCCTACCAGGTGCGTTTGCATCTAAAAACTCCTCCATCCTCTTCTGCATCCTCGATCCTTCTCTGCCTCCTCCTCCACCTCCTCCGCCTCCCCTGCCTCCTCTGCCTCCTCTCCTGCCTCCTCTCCTGCCTCCCCCCTCTCCTCCTCAGCCTCCCTCTCCCCCTCTGCTCTCTCCTCCTCCCCCAGCTGTCCTCGCGAGCACCTCCGCGGGCACGGTGCCGCCCGGGCGGAAGGCGGGCACCATGCACGCCTCCCTCGCGTCCTTGATCATCTCGCACATCGGGCCGATCTTGGCGTAGTGCGGGTTGCTGTGCATGGTCTCCAGGACCTGAGATTGAGACATCAAGTCGTCTCCGTGAAGCTCGAATCCAGCGGGGCAGGACTCCGTGATCTTTGAATCCATCATAAGTAAGGTAGTGGTCCACGTCATCGATACACGGCGAATCGTGAGCTTCGCATCTGCAAGCGCGCCCGTGAAGTCAGTGCCCAAGCACGCCCTGTCGAGATCAGGAATGACATGATTCTGAGCATCTTCCGAGGTGGCGTTGGTGTACACGTTCTTGTCGAGCTTCAGCGTGCCGTCGAACAGGGTCTGGGCATCGCTGATCTGATTGTGGAGGGCCGTTAGTAATGGCATGATAGAAGACTCTTTGCTCGGCCTGCGCTCCTCTTGACTGCGATGCTCCTGATACCACTTGGCCACGCCCGCGTTAGCCACCACGAGCTGCAAACCTAGATGCGGAAGGAGGGCGAACGAGGAGTGGTAGGAGCAGGAAGAGGAGAAGGCCCCGCACCGTTGTGAACGGTCTTCACCTCCTTGAAAAATACCTGGTCGTTCAGCTTCAGCGCAGTCTTCATCAGCACTGAGATCACCGAGGTCTCGTTGATGACGGCATCTGTGATGATCTGCGAGATCTCGGAAGGCTCCGCGAACGCATCGGATATCTCATCATCCGAAGCGGGCTCTGCGGTCACGACGTTCACGCGGAAAGCAAGATGGGGAAGTTGGTTCGCAACAGTCTCAAGCAACGGTTCGATGGTTTTGAGTGACCCATCCGTAACTGACCTCCTCGCTTGATCAAGGGCCTCCGAGTCGAGAGTAGCCTGGAAGTTCGCCATGTCCCCAGGCGACAACAAGTCGGAGATGTGCTTCGGGGCTGTCTCCCCGCAGAACTCGAGGGCCTCCGGGCAGCGCTCCTCCTCTCTCCTCCTTCTCTTCCTCCTCCTCTTCTTCCTCCCGCTTCTGTTTCTTGCTCCTCCTCCTCCTCCTTATCTCTGCAGCTGCCTCTTGCTCCTCTTCCTCTATCGTATCTCCCTCCCTCTCCCGCTCCTCCTCATCTTCCTCCTACTCATCCGCATCTCTCCTCCTCCGCTCCCTCCTCCTTCTCCTCCCCCTCCTGGGAGGGGCAGGGAGATGAGTAGGAGGAGGGCGAGGAGGAAAGGAGGAGGAGGGGGAGGAGGAGGAGGAGGAGGAGGAGGAGGAGCGAGGAGGAGCGAGGAGGAGGAGGAGCGAGGAGGAGGAGGAGGAGGAGGAGGAGAAGGAGCCCCCCCCCAATCGCGCCTCAAACTTGGCGTCGGCGGACGCGCTGTCGCTGACGAGAATCGGCGCGTGCTTCATGAAGATCATGGAGTACTTCAGCGACGACTGCACGTTCTCGCTGCAGCCCCAGCACTCGCCAACGAGGTGCTTGAAGCTGGAGAGATCGCCGACCGTCTCCAAGATACCCTTGAAATCGTGCTCCTCGAACGTGCGCTGCTGGCACGTGGAGATCATCACCTTGAAAGAAAGAAGCACCGTTGCCATCGCCGTCTCACGAACCTTGCCCTGCAACTTGAGCGCAGTAGCGAGCCCACCACTGGGCGCGAGCGACGTGAGGATGCCATCAGCTTTGGCCAACATCATGCAGATGTCCTTGAGTTCCTTCGTGGCGTGCGTTTCGTATCGTAACGTTTCGTGGCAAAATGTTTGAAAACAACAATTGGTACTTATATTATTACTTATGTTATGTTGAGTGCGTCAGTCGGTTACCTGGCACATGCCCCCTGCGTCCTGTAGATTCAGATTGTTGGTGGCCGCCGCTATCGTCACCTTGCTGTTCACGTTGTTAACCACCTCCGCGAAGTCCATATTCAACTTGGAATCTCCCGCCTTGTTTTCGAACATCTTCATCACGCTGGTGTACCACGATCGCCCGCCACGGAAAGTGAACACGGAAGCTAGCACAGCATCGCCGTCTTTGTTAGACTCGGCCTCGGTCATGGCAGCTTTGGCTCTCTGAACCAACTCTTGAGAGGAATTGTCATCAGTCAAAGTGCGAAGTACGGCCAACTGGCACCTGAAGCTGATGTCTGCCACGATCTGGTCCCACGCATTCCCGTTGAACGTCATCGCCATCTTCTTTGCAATTGTGGGTACGTCTGGGTTCTTGGTGGAAGCTGCCACTCGGCTGATGAGGCACTGGATCTGAACGTCAAGAATCTTGGTGGTGGACACGCCGATGTCCTGCAGCGAATCGACGCTGAGCTGAGCACAGAACTCGTTGTGCGACATGTCCAGCTGCACGCGAAGCTCCTTGCGAGCGATCTTCCAGAACACAGGCCACCGAGAATCCACTCTAGGATGAGTGTTCAACCTCTGCATCTGGTTGTCGTAGGTCGTTGCGAAGTCCGGGTGGCTGGTGCCCTTCCAGTTCGTCATGCTGATCATCTCCGCCGCGCAGCTGAGCTGCCTCCACTTAGCTTCGAAAGCATCGAACGATTCACCCTCGGTGGCCTTGTCCCGAGAACCTGCCAGGTCCTTCAGAAGCCTCCCGATGTAGTCCTTGGTCTGCTGGCGCCCCATCGCGAAGAACTTGTCGGTGCTCGAGTCTGACACTTCTAGCTCCCCCATCAGAGTCGTGGCGACAACGATGAGGTCTCGCGGCTTGCGGCCGCGAGTCGACTTGGCCCCCTCCATCGCATTGGGCTTGGTCGAGCTTGCGGGTGCACCTGGCTGGTTGGAGGTCGCCCTGGCTTTGGCCTTGCCCGTTGCCCTGCGCCCAGTAGCAGGCGGCTCCCCTTGACCGCGTGCGGGCCTGGAGGGGGTTGCGACCTCTGGGCTGGGGCTCAAGGAGAAACCGAATCCCAATCCTTCCGAAGCAGACTCGGCACCAGCAGCCTTGATAGGAGTGCGGTGCTCTGTACCACGCGGAACAGGGGTCTGAGGTTGAGAAGGGGCCGGCCCTGGAGACTGCGAAGAAGACGAACCCATCAGCTGGTCCAGCGTCCACCCAGTAGCCTTAGTGTGCCCGAAACTCTTGAAGAGACCAGCTTGGATATCGTTCAAGTCGGTCTTGCTCATGTCGGCGTCGTCCCGGTCCGCGACTACCTTGTTAACGTCCGAGATCACAGAGTTCACCTTCCTGATCTTGCAAAGCTTGCCACTCGGAATCACGACGATCTTTCTGCCGTTGTCCGGGTGCGGGACGATGGCATGGCCTTTCAACGCGGGGTCGCCGTGGGCTGTCTGGTAGTCCTCCAAGTACATCCAGTCGTCCTCGGGATCTGAGATCTCGATCATTCCTCGTTTCTTTGCCACTACCTGAGCTTTTTTTATTCACTTCATAGTCTGTCCAGCAGATCTTGCCCTTCAGCGTCTGGTTCTCGACGTGCCAGGTTACGACGAACTCCAGGAGAGACTCGAACTCCGCCCTCTCCTTGTCGGAGTCGGGGCCCTTGAGGAGATTCTTCAAGGCAGCCAAGTTCATCTGCCGCGCGTACTTGTAACGGCTCTCGTGGGTACGCATACAGTAGAAGCAGATCGTTCCCTCGTTCTTCTGGCCTTCCTTCTTGATGGGGTATGCCCACTTCCTGCCTGGGAAGAGCTTGCAAACGGGGTCCTCGTCGGTGTCTTTCTTGAAGCATAGTTCGCAGACTCTGCCGTCAGGTACCCAACGGATGAAGTCATCGAGGCTGGCTTTGAAACCGACCATCCCCTTGACCTGCCCCTTTGACTTCTTGCTCTTCGCCTTGCTGTCCGGCTCCTTGTCGCAGGAGCCAGCGTTCGGCAGGCTGTCCAGGAAAGCGGCGGACTGTGACATGATGCAGCTGTTCGTCAGATGTACACTACCTGGTAGTAAAATCTCGGGCACCCTGGCAGCGTCACGATGTCGTATCCTGATCCTGGTAAACCTCTCGAGCCCAAACAGGCTTCCGGCGGGCCCACCATGGCACCACGGCCGAGGAGGAGGAGGGGGAGGGAGGGAGGGAGAGAGGAAAGAGGAGGAGGAGGAGGAGGAGGAGGAGGAGGAGGAGAAGGAGAAGATGAGGAGGATGAGAAGGGGAAGGAGGAGGAGGAGGTTCCCCACCTCAGACATACGTACAAGGGGGAATCGAAATTCGGAATAGTCGACTTTGAGCTCCCCCACATCCTCCATCCTCCATCCTGCCTTCCTGACCTCCCACTACTCCCTGCCTCTACCTCCTCCTATCTCCCCATCTCCTCTGTTTGATGCCTGGCCCCCAAGGGCCTGCAACACATCGAACGAGAGTTTGAATCATACGGTGGATGTCGCACGTGGTTTTCATCCGAACCAAGATCGAAGCGCCCTCGGTGAGGGTCCAAACGTCTTTGCGAATTAGACTGCTGTCTAGCCCAATCAGTCCGACGAGCTGAGCAAACCATCAGTGTCGTCCGACGCCGCGGCGCCCTCCTCTTTCTCGCTCTCCTCGTCGGATTCCTCTGGGGCCTGCATGATCATGCCCCTCATGGCGAACGCTGCTACGATGACACATGGGAGCGCATGACCGTTGAAGGCGTTCCCGGCCAGGGAGGTGAGGAGCTCGCAGTCGTTCTTGAAGTCGGGGCCCTTGAGGATGCCGTGCTTTTCTGGCGCCCACATGCTGTCAGTCCACCCAGTGACCTTCATCAGCTCATACCCCGAAAGGGCGCGAACCAGCGGCTTATCGAATCCTCGCGGCACCCAACGCATGACGATGGTAGAGTTCGAGATGATGGTCGGAACGGTGGCGCTCCACGGGTTGCGAACCTTGTTGGGCCACCCGACCAAGCGAGGCAGCGACATCTGGACGCCCACGAACTCGGGAATGTGAACGTCACCCATGGGCCACCTGTTGTTCAGGAAGTAGCACGCTTCGATCTGCCTCTCATCGACTTCCCGAAGATCCCATCCGAATTGGTGAGGATGGGAGGCCAGTTGTAGAGGATCGTTTGGAAGATCTCGTAATGGTCGTCCTTGTACTTGAAGTCGGTCTTCCTGCGCTTGGAGTCCTGCTCTATCACATCGCTGGACGTGACAAGGTCCAAGTCACCAGGCGCATCCAAGCTGATGATGCTCTCAACGCTCCCGGCGTCGGTGATGAGGCACCCGATGATCTCTTCGCCGAACCCGTTAACCTTTGATTTCGTCGCCTCGTTGATGTTCTGAGCTTGGACGAAGACGAAGTACAGGCGGATGCGGCTCGTAATCGCACCATGGTCGGCTGAGTTGATGACCGTGTGGAAGCCCGTGTAACTTAACTTTTTCATCTCAGCAACAATGAAATCTGCGTCGCTCATGTCATCAGATCCGCTGCCTCTTTGTTCGAGGAGTTCTTTCACGTTTTCCATGATCACCACTGCGGGCCGTACCTCCGAAATGTACTGATGAATATCCCAGAATGTGGTACTTGTTGCTGCTTCGGTGCGGTTCTGAACGCAATTCGCATGCTGCGAGCTTCGATTCGAAGCTCGGGAGCGACTGGTGCACGAGAAGCCTGCGATGACCATCTGACACGATGGAACGATCACCTCAGCGTTCACCTTGTGGCAGCGCGCACGAAGGGAGCTGAGGAGAGCTACGTCGCCCAGGACAGTGCGAATGTCAGGGAACTGGTGGAGCAAGAACTCCCTCTTCTTGCGATTAATCTCGACTGCCAACGAATGCGTGAAGGTGAACGCGACGTCGAAGTGCATCCTGAATTGACGCTGTAAGACGACCAGTATCTTCATTGCAAGGTCACTTCCAGAGCACGCAGTCCCAACCAACATACTCATGTAATACTGCGTAAAGGTCTTCAAACAAGAAGCCATCAACAAAGCCAGCGAGGATGGGAGCCGCGTGAAAGAGACGTACACATCTTCCTCGACGCTCTCCATCTGAGGGAGTTCGTTACCATCTTCAGCTCGCCGAGGTTCTGGATTCGGAAATATCGTAGTGACCTGTCGGAGGCTCAAGCGCATCCTCCTCCTCCTCCGCGTCCACGCCCTCCACCTCCTCCAAGACCTCCTCCAAGACCTCCTCGTCCACCTGTCCTAGTCCTGGCTCTTCCTCTGCCTCCTGCCTCCTTCCCCCCCCCCAGCTCTCCGAGGGCGCCAAGACGCTGGAGCGGACCGACGCCCCCTCCCCTCCCCCATCCGTCCGCCCCAAGAGATCGGCAGGGCCCGCCGGCTAAGTGGCAGATTTCCTGAAACGTTCGCGGCGGGGGGCAAGGTTTCCAGGTCGAAGAGCCAGGCCCAGGACCAGGGCCAGGGAGGAGGAGGAGGAGGAGGAGGAGGAGGAGGAGGAGGAGGATGAGAAGGAGGGGGAGGAGGCGCGGGAGGAGAAGGATGAAGAGGAAGAGGAAGAGGAGAAGGAGAAGGTGGAGGAGGAGTAGGAGGAGGAGGAGTGGGAAGGCGTACCCCTCTACGGATCCTTGGGCCGTTACATGCCTCACCCCCTTCTGGCGCGACGGCCTGGGCGGGGTCCGGGATGTGGACAGGCTAGGGCAGGGGGCGAGGCAGTAGAGATGAGGATGGCAGAGCGTGGAGGCGAAAGGGGTTGAGGCGGCGGCGGAAGCGACGGCTTAGCAGCGGCAGTGAAGGATGAAGGGGAGGCAAATGATGAGGACATGGTGAAGATGATGATGGTGGTGATGACTATGGTGATGATGACAATGGTGGTAATGATGATGATGATGATGACGATGATGATGATGATGATGCTGATGATGATGATGATGATGATGATGATGGCGCGGCGTCACAGCGGCGCCCCCAGAGACCAGGCAAGGCGCGCCTCTACTACTGGCGGATCTCCGCCCCGAGCACGCCCACGAACATCAAATCGGTGTACTTCAAATACCTGCCACGGGCGAAACGGAAAGCCGACAACAGGCCAATGGGATTCGGTTGGATCCCACTGGCAAATTCAAATTCAAATTGGCCGCGGGGGATAGTTTTCCCAAGGGCACCGCGCCGAGCCCGACTCCGTCCACAGCAGCAGGCAGCCCGCGGGGTCTGGCCGCGGGTCGGCAGGCGGACCGACGCCGTCCCAAAGCGGCACCGCCCACACCGCGGGAACCTCCCGCTCCTCCCAAGGTCCCCAGTACCACCATAGGGGAACGCGGTTTGCCAATGGAAGTTCCAGCCAAGCCGGCGCCCACCAGGGCCATGGCCCTGGCAGACCCAGCGGGGCCACAGGAGGCGCGGGAGGCGGCTCGGGGCCGCGGGTGCCGCGATCGTACAGATCGAGGCCCAGCAGCGCGGGCGCCTTGACAGCGCCGCGTCGATGGGCCCCTGGAGCTCGGAGCGGGAACGTGCGCGCGCTCGCCGGGCTCCCGAAACCAGTCCGCAACTGCGCTGGCGTCCACGGGCACGCGGCCATAAGGGCGGCCTGCAGCCGCGCGAACGCGAGCGCAGCTTGAGCGTCAAGGCGCGCGCGGCGGGCATGATGATGATTGGCCAATTGCAAGCAAACAACGGCATGATGATGGGAGGAGGAGGGTGGGGTAGGATAATGAAGGTTAGAAAGATCAGGAGTGAGAGGGTGAGGAGTGGAAGGATGCGAAGCAGGAGGAGTAGGAGCAGGAGGAGTAGGAGGACCAGGAGGGAAGGAGGACGAGGTGAGGAGTAGGATGAGCTGAGGAGTTGGAGGCGGATAAGCTGAGGAGTAGGAAGATGAGGAGTAGGAGGTTCTGCAGGGAAGCAGGAAGAGGAGGAGTAGGAGGAGGAAGAGTAGGAGGAGGAGGACGGAGGAGAAGGAGAAGGAATCGAGCGGAAACCTCACAAGGATCGCTGGTTCACCGAACCCTGACATCGCCGCTTGTTTTCGACCCTGGGCTTGTTTTGAACTTCTTGCTATTTTTAATATCACCTCGTATTTCTTTGGGAATTACACACCCCCCCCCTGACCTCCCGGCGACCTCCCGGCGGATCTCCTCCAAAAGTGCAACAGTCACACAGATCCTATTTCCCCCCCCCCCGGGACCTCCCGGCGACCCCCCGGATACCTCCCGGAAGCCCCCCCCCTGGAATTCCTTGGGACATGCGAAAATAATTACTTGAATTGAATTTGGGTGATTTAGGTGTAACGTTGGGGATGTTAGTAAATCCAGCGTTGGAGAAGTCAAAACCAGCGATCCTTGCTAGCGCAGCGAATGAGGAAGCTTTAGTGGATGAAGCGGGGGTGGGAACGACAAAGTTTTGAAGGCCTGGGTAGCCCCCAACACCCAACACCCCGACAACCTGGGAATCCTCGCCGGCAACGCCCGCAGCGCCCGCGAAGTACTCCTGGCTGTCGTTCTCGCCGTTGGGGGGCAAGCCGTCGAAGCCCTCCTCCATGGCGGCGTGCTGGCCCCCCCTCTCACTTTCATCGAGGGGGGCAGGGGGGATCAGGGATAGAAGTATAGCGAGGGGCATCGGCATGACAGGGCAATATTCATGCTGCATGATTACAAACACACACACACACACGTACTGGGCTTGTCATCACGCATTTGCATCACGTATTTACATAGCCATATCAATGCAGCAATGCTGCCCGCCCCTGGGCGTCCGAGAGATTTGCAGGGAGATCAGCTCCGACTGGAGGGCAACGCCTTGAGCCCGAGGTAGCGTCACCCTGCCCCCAAGCTGAGATGCCGACGCAGGCACCCGACGAGAGCTGATGACACCCCCTGGCAGGAGGAGGAGGAGGAGGAGGAGGAGGAGGAAGAGAAGAGGAGGAGGAGGAGGAGGAGGAGGAGTAGGAGGAGGAGGAGGAGGAGGAGCATGAGGATGAGGATGATGATGATGATGAGGAGGAGGAGGAGAAGGAAAGGAGGAGGGAAACTGACTAAGGGTGAGCGGCTGGCCCCCCCCCCTCGCATGCCTCTGCGTTCATCGCCTACCCTCTTTCCTTCTAAGCCCCTTCATGCGTCCCCCCCCTATCCTCCCCTCCTACCCTCACGATCACCCTCTCTGCCTCACCCCTCCATCATCCTTCCCTCCTCCATCCCTCCATCCCTCCATCCCTCCTCTCTTCTCCCTCCTCTCTCCTCTTTCCTCCCTCCTCATCCTTCCTCCTCGGTGCTGATGTGATGCAACTGCATTTCAGAATCTCACGTGCTCGAACGGCCTGTTGCACAGCGCGCTCCTATCAAGAGTGCAGTCTCAAGCACGCAGAACCTCAGCTGACAATGCGTCAGCTGTCAACAAAAGTGGGCCAGTGGACGGGGCCGTGGCTACACGCTCTTGCTATGCTATGCTTCCGGGCCCTGGTCTTACGCACGCACAATCACTGGGTTACAGGACGACGAACCACGTGTATGTATGAATGAATATGCTGCGAATGTTCGAATGTTGCATGCGTCTATACAAGCACCATCTCATCAGGAGTGTTCCTGTGTTCTGTGACCCTTGGAACGCACGTCTGAACACCTGAATCGAGCCCACGGTCCCGACCACAAGCACGCGGCATCGCGAACTCAAGAAGTTCGCAAGGCGCTTGCGAACGCAGCTCTATATGCTGCCATCGTGCGCTCAACCTCTAGCGTGAACCCCTGAGGAGTTTGCCGACGAGCAGCAGGCAACGTCTGAATATCCTTGGTAAAGATCGGATCCTGAGGCCGAGCCTGATTATACCATGGAGGTTGCTGGACCATGTGCTTCAGGCAATCAGAATCGATGTGGTAATACTTCCATAGCACAGATTTCCAACGACGTGACTTGGGCAGGAGAGACTTATGAGGGTCGTAGGTCACTTTAATGGCATGCTTGTCAATCTCCTTATCGCAACCTGCACACATGCTGGCTTTGTTCGTACGAGTCAACCACACAAAAATATGACCGTCACGCTCTGCTGCTGGGTCATCTGGGGGAGGGGTCTTCAAGATGTCCCATGGGCGAACTGGCGGTGGTTCCGCCGGCACTGGTGCCGCACTCGACGCTGCCCCAGATGCTGGAGCTCCGCTGCTACTGGAAGCGCCCGATGATGCCTTTGCTGCTGCAGGTGCTGGAGTTCCGCTGCTGCTGGAGGCCCCAGATCCCTTGGCTGCTGCAGGTGCTGAAGCTCCGCTGCTACTGGAGGCCCCGGATCCCTTGGCTGTTGCAGGTGCTAGAGCTCCGCTGCTACTGGAGGCCCCAGATGCCTTAGCTGCTGCAGGGGGTGATGTTCCACTGCTCTTGGAAGCAACGCCACCGCCACCGCCAATATACGGAGCCCCATGCGAGGTCTTCATCTTAACCTTCTTCCCCGAAGCAGAAACGAAACATTGCAACTTCTCATCGAACTCAACGATGCCTTCGCTGTTTTCCGACTCGGATTCTGAGAGTACAACTTCGACCACCGCGTGCTCAAGAGGTGCCAAGGGTCCCTTGGGCGCGGCTATCTTCACGGCCTTTCCGCTTCCCTGTGGTTGGTCTTTGGGAGTTTGGTCTTTGGGCATCACGTTGGGGGCAGACGCAAACCCCTCCTCGAATCTTGAGTCGACGTCTCCAGCAGGACCACCCTCAGACCCAGGATGTGACTTATCTTTCTTGCTTTGTTTCTTCAAGCTGTCCACAGGATCCGTTGCAGAATCATACAAGCATATCCCGTCTTGGATTGATGTATCTGACAACCTCATGACATTGATCATGTCTGTGTTCGCTAAGTTGACAACCTTATGCAACATCGCGCTGGACACCCGCATTGCTTGGTCCCGCTCCCCTTCTAGTCTGATGCGCCAAGTGGCAACC